CAATGAAATATAATGGTAAAGGTAATATTAGAGAGTACATTATGGAGATGTCTCATATTGCTTCAAAATTGAATGCACTTAAATTGAACCTCTCTGAAGAGTTACTAGTGCATTTGATTTTAATATCTCTTCCTACACAATTTAGCCAGTTTAAGGTAAGTTACAACTGTCAAAAGGAGATTTGATTTCTAAATGAACTCATCTCACACTATGTGGAGGAAGAGGAAAGGTTGAAGCAAGATCGGACAGAAAGTACTCATCTGGTATCAACCACTAATAATAAAAGCAAGGGACTTAAGAGAAAAAAAAAATAAAGAAGTTGCAGGTACAGCGCCACAAAAGAAACAACAAAAGAAATCAGTTGATAAGGGAAAAAAAATAGTTGTTTCTTCTGTGGAGTTGAAGGGCAAAAAGAAGCATTGCACCAACTATCATGCTTGACGCGCTAAAAAAGGTATGCTTCTTAATTTGATTTGTTCTGAGATTAATTTAACTTCGGTACCTAAACACACACGGTGATTAGATTTTGGTGCAACAACCCACATCAGTGTGTCTATGCAGGGTTGCCTGAATTACCGAAAGTCTAATGATAATGAAAGATATATCTACGTGGGCGATGGTAAAATAGTTCAAGTTGAGGCAATAGGAGTTTTTAGATTATTGTTAAAAATCGAATTTTCTTTGAATCTCAATGAGGCATTTGTTGTACCGTCTTTTCGACGGAATTTGATTTCTATTTTTGTTTTGAACAAATTTGGTTATTTTTGTTCATTTGAAAATGAAAAGTTTAAATCGTTTCATGATTCAAAATTAGTTAGTTCTGGGTCTTTAATGGATTACTATAATCTATATTTAATTGATACAATTGGTTCATTTAATGAATCTCTGCATTTGAGTACTAGAGGAGTAAAGAAAAAATTAATCAACGAAAATTTGGCTACATTATGGCACAAAAAATTGGGACATATCTCCTAACGGAGAATGGAAAGACTTGTGTCAATGAAATTCTCGATCCCTTGAATTTTATAGATTTTAATGATTGTATTAATTGTATAAAGAGAAAATAAATCAACAAAAGGAGATTTAAAATCAATAGGTCCTTAGACGTCTTAGAACTTATATGCACGGATATTTGTGGACCGTTTTCTACATCTGGTTGGAATGGTCAACAATATTTTATAACGTTCATAAACGATTTTTCAAAATATGATTACATATATTTCATTTCTGAAAAGTCACAGTCAGTGGACGTGTTCAAAAATTTTAAAACTGAAGTTAAGAATCAACTCAACAAAAGAATTAAAAGCGTCAAATCTGATCGTGGTGATGAATACTATGATAGATATAACGGTTCAGGTAAACAACGTTCAGGACCATTTGCTAAATATTTATAGAAATGCGGTATCGTCCCACAGTACACTATGCCGGGATCACCCACTATGAATGGTGTAACTAAAAGACGAAATAGAATGCTTAAAGATATGGTAAGGAGTATGATATGTCATTATATCTTACCAAAGTCACTCTAAAAAAAAGCACTTAAGACTGCAACATATATTCTTAACAGAGTTTCAACTAAAGTAACTATCAAAATCTCTTATGAGTTTTGGACAGAGAAAAAGTCCAGTTTAAAGCATCCGCATGTTTAGGGGTATCCAGTTGAGGTAAGATCTTATAGGCCAAATGAAAAGAAATTGGATTCAAAAATAGTTAGTTGTTATTTTATTGGATACTCTAAAAGATCCAGGGGTTAAAAGTTTTATGATCTCACGACTAAATCAATTTTTGAAACAGAAAATGCTCGGTTCTTTGAGGATGTCGAGTTTGGGAGAGAAAATACAGTAAGGGACATTGTCTTTAAAATATATATATATTAATATTCTCACAGATGTCATTGATCTTGTTCAGGATCCTATTCCTGAACTTGATCATGACATGACAAATCAAGACAACATCGATGAACAAACTGTTATAGAAGAACAAACTCTCTCTCTCCAAGAACCAGTACCATTAAGAAGATCCACTAGAGAAAGGAGAAGTGTAGTGCCAGATGATTACATTATTTTTCTCCAAGAACATGAGGATGACACTGAATTGATGGAAGATGATCCAATCAACTTTCGTTAAACCAAAAAAAGTTTAAATTCTCAAAAATGGATCGATCCATGAAAGACAATGATTTTTGGGATCTTGTCCCACTACCAGAAGGAGCAAAATCCATTGGTTGTAAATGGATATTTAAAATCAAAAGAGATTCGAAAGACAATGTAGAAAAATACAAAACTCGTCTTGTCGCCAAGAAATTTACACAAAAAGAAAGTATCGATTACAAAGAAACCTTCTCTTCGATCTTTTCAAATGACTCTTTTAGAATTATCATGACATTAGTAACGCATTTCGATCTTGAATTATATCAGATGGATGTAGAGACAACGTTCTCAATGGTGACATTGATGAGACGATTTATATGGTGCAATCAGAAAACTTTGTATCAAGAGATCAAAAAAATATGATTTGTGAATTTAAAAAATTCATCTATGGGTTCAAACAAGCGTCTCGATAATGATATTTCAAATTTCATCAAATGATCATTTCATTTGGTTTTGAGATAAATTTAGTAGATGATTGTATATATCATAAGTTCTGTGGGAGCAAATATATTTTCCTAGTATTGTACGTTGATGACATTTTACTTGCCAGCAACGATATGGATCTATTACATGAAATCAAGAAATTTCTAACTAAAAACTTTGAAATGAAAGATTTTGGTGATGCATCTTTTATGTTAGGCATACAAATACACCGGAATCACTCTCGAGATATTTTAGAACTATCATAAAAGGGTTATATCGAAAAAGTTTTTAAAAAATATGGCATGCAAAATTGTAAATCAGATGATATCTCTGTGGGTAAAAGAGACAAATTTAGTCTTGAGCAGTGTACGAAAAATGTTTTGGAGAAAAAAAGAGATGCAAAAGATTCTTTATGTGTCAGCAGTAGGGAGTTTGACGTATGCTCAAATTTGTACGCGTCCGGATATTGCGTGCATTATTGGGATGTTGGGTAGATATTTAAGTAATCCTGAATTAGATCATTGGAAAGCAATCAAACGGGTCTTACGGTATTTACAGAAAATAAAAGATTACATGCTCAAGTATCGGAGGTCAGATAAGTTAGAAATCATTGAGTATACTGATTCCGATTGTACTGGATGTCAAGATACTATAAAGTCAACGTCAAGCTGTACTACTTGTTGGCTGGAGGTGTCATATCTTGGAAGAGTGCTAAATAGTCTCTCATAACATTTTCTATTAAGGTTGCAAAGTTTACAACTTATTATGAGGCATCCAATCATAAAATTTGGCTGCAAAATTTCATTACAGGATTATGTGTAGTGGATAGTATTGAAAGACCAATCAAATTATTTTGTGATAATAAGTCAGCAGTCCTATATTTCAATAATAACAGGAGCTCGACGAAATCTAAACATATAGATATCAAGTTCCTGACTGTTAAAGAAAAAGTACAGAATGGACAGTTATCGATAGAGTATATCGGGACAAACTACATGATTGCAGATCCGCTTACTAAGGGATTACCACCCAAAATGTTTCATGAGCATACTGCTCGTATGGGTGTCATGTTATTAAATGATGTACAGTTTTAGTGAGAATTTGTTATTTTAAATACTCTGATGATACTTTTCGGTTATTAATTATTTAAGAATATTTTATGCATAAATAAAGTTTGCATTTATTTATAATCTGATTTTGGTAAGGTTTGATATCTAAAAATTTAAGCTGGATTAGTTGAAAATAAGCATGTTACGATCATATTACATGAAATTTTCATACTACACATTCATATCATAATTCATGTCATTCAATTGTATCGATATATGTGACCATTGATGAGTCGAATTACGAAATTGTAACAAAATCCGCTTTGATCCTATATTGGTGTGATTGATAGATCGAATTGGCTACAGATACATTTTAGTAATGACAGTAAAATTGAGTTCATACGATTTATTGTAAAATATAATTATAAGGTTACACATGTAGTCCAAGTGGGAGATTGTTGGATCTTTAATTCAACATTAGACTTACATGTGAATAATTATGTGATGCAAATTGTCAAATAAGGTTAAGTCCAATTAAAGTGATCAAATATAGTTTGGACTTAATGTATCTAATAGGATGTAGGTCTTTAATGTGTTGAGATTTAAGGGTATTTTCTATTTCTATGATGGGTTGAAACATAAGTATATTGCAAAACATAATTATAAGGTTACACATGTAATCCAAGTGGGAGATTGTTGGATCCTTAATCCAACAATGGACTTACATGTGAATAATTATGTGATGCAAACTGTCAAATAAAAGGTTAAGTTCAATTAAAGTGATCAAATATGGTTTGAATTTAATGTATCTAATAGGATGCGGGTTTTTAATGTGTTGAGATTTAAAGGTATTTTCTATTTCTATGATGGACTGAAATAAAAATTCAAAAGGTAACAGAATTGTTATCTATAAATAGGGTTATGGTCCCCAAATCACACGTATTATTCTTATTGTCGTATTTTCTAGTGCTGACAAAATAGCTCTTTCCCATCGTCAGGAAAGATACCAGAAAGAAACTAAAGAACTCTCTCAAGGACTGACGAATACGTGTTGACCTGGAAACAATGTTTTAAAATCCGGACTATCAATTGAACCGGTGAAATGAAAGTGTCGAGATTCAACCGATCGGACCGGTTCAACCTCGGTTCAATGAATTATATATATATATATATATATATATATATAAACACACAAACACCTATGCATAGGTTAAGATATTCCATAGATATCACATGATAAAAAGTTACATATTTCCAAACACACACGAATTTTTAGAACTATAAATTTAACCAAACAAATTCATCTCAATTATACCTATCATTAAAAAAATTTTAGACCTTTCACAAACCACTACCATATTTTGAAATAAAATAAAAGTCATTGAAACTTCTGAAATTAAATAAAGTCCAATAGAACTATAGATGCTAAAATCACAACCAACATAAGAGCAATATTATCCCATGTCCAATAGTCTAAATATTAGAAATAACAAAGAACAATATAAAAACTCATTTAATTCTAGAAAACAATTGAAAAATCCAAGCAAATCTAATTTCTGAGGCTTTTATCATCTTTTTCATCATTCTTGGACAACAAGTATTTAAAAAAAGCCATCTTGACAAGTCTTCATCATCGTCCAAGAGCATATATGATCCACTGACAAAAATACAAAATTTATGTTAGTTTTATCACACCAACTAGTCCAAATCTTAAAAATAGAAAAAAAAGAACACAAATAAATTTCATACAAATTACCATTTGAATCTTTAATGCTAATCATCATCTTCATCATCATTAAAAAAGTTTCTACGTTGAAATGCTTCTAAATCAACATCTTCCCCTTCATCTTCGTTATCTAAAGAAATCAACATAGTTAATTATACACACATTGAACAATTAAATACAATATTAACTTTACTTTTGCATCAAACTAATAACCAATTTCAGTTGGAAATGATAAAAAAATTATAATTTCAGCTTTTACTAATACATGAAACTAACCTTCAAATGGTTGAGAATTTGAACCTTGATCATGAACTGGAATTTCTTCAAGTTCTTCATCTAACTCATCATAATTTCAGCTCTTCGTAATTTAAGCGTACATATCTTCTACGTGGTCATAATCAATTGGTATACCAAGTCTGCAACGAGTTGGTTGACATTTTCAATTACGGAATGGAGAATATGGGGATATGAAACTTGCTTTGGTCAAAAGCTGTGCTTTTTAGCTAGACAGACCAAAGATTATGGTCCTGCCACCTTTGAAACTCAGGCCACCCAAATGATAAAAAAAAAAAAAAAAAAATTTTGAGCCAGAGTGCCATTCTGGTTCAGGACCCTGTCAATTAATGCCATATTATCCAAGTAGCAAGTAGCGTCCACCAAATAAAAATCAAAATGCTACAATTAATAAAATCAAAACGCTTCCCTCTCAAGCAATTCATCAAACAACTGGCAAGCTAACTTCAGACACCCACATTTCACTAAATAAATGTAATGCTTCTGGCTAGAGACCCAACAAAGACATCATCAATTGTTGAAATTTCACAAGAAATAGAGTAAAAATTGAATTTTTTTCTTTAAAGTTTATATAACAACAATTGATATATTTTAAAATCAACTCAAAATATTTAATTTAACCCATAATTCTAAGTTAAATAGGAAAAATACGAACCATAAAAAGCATATGCACATCAAGTAACCAACTAAGAGCAACAAAAAAAACAAAGAAAAGGTAAACTAACCTGGTAAATTGGTAATGGCTTGAAATTTTAGAGGCTAACTAAGCTGTGCACTTCAATGCAAGAACAATTGGTGCATCAACTTTTGAAATGAAAACAAAATAAAATTGGAGTTCTTGGAGATTGAAGAAGAGAATTGAAATTGGCTTTTGTCTTGATAGTTGACCAAGACAAGGAAACAGAGAGAGCCAGGCGGCGTATTTGCAAATTGGAGAGAAAACTCTTTAGTTTATGCCTTAGGGTTAGAGCCATTGGTTATTGCCTTATTGGTACTACTACTTGGTGGCTAACCGAAATAGGAAGTTAAATGTTTTAAAAATAAAAAACTGTGGTTCACGATTTTAACGGTTTTAACGGTTTTTTCCGAGTTTGACCAGTTCTTGAGATAGGTCAAACTAAGATATGAACCGAACGGTGTCCATGGCCGGTTCGCAGTTCGACCGGTCAAAAAATATTGCCTGGAAAGCCACCCCAAAATCTCTAGGGATTCAAGTATCAAGTTTGTCAACATGGATCAAAGTACGCTTCTGCAATTTTTCCTTGTTAATTTATTTCTTAATAATCGTCATATAGATTTTGAGTTTAATAGGTGATAGTTTTCACCAAAGGTTAAATTTAGACAACCACCCTAACAATCAGTCACAAGAAAGATCAAAGGGTTTTTCTAACGGTGTTCAATAAATACTCTTAACACATCTAAATCACATTCAACCTACCATGTTTATGTATACACTAATAATTATTAACCTCTTTTCCATTTATTTACTTTTTTCTAATTAATTTTATTTTTTTAATATTTTAACACTTGAAGTACATCTTAACGAGTGCCTATTGAATATCATTCGCAGATAGGCCAATGAACAAATACCATACATAGCTGCACACTAGTCCTTATAGATGACTCTTCTATGTTTATTATGAAGTGAACCAATCATATTGCTTATTAACTCAACTAATCATCTATATCTATATAAATTTGAGGAGGATTTTTTAGCAACAAACTTCCACAAACCTTCCCACTATCAATTCCATTTTTCTTGTATTTTACATTTAATTTATTTCCTAAAATACATTATGTCCACGTTTGAAACACACTATCACATTTCCATCAAATAAGAATTTTACTCCAACTAACACTTCTCCCTTCACACACCTTCCCACTTCAATTAATACTCCTCCAATTAGCAATTCCATTTAAAACTCCTCCAACCCCATTAATACGAGATAACCACATAATTTTACAAAAAATCGTAATTTACCATCTCTTTCAACTTCTTTTTGGTATCAATCTCTTTCAATTTCTTTCTAGTATCAATCTTAGCTCTCAACTTAATTTCACCATGAACCATGCCTACCTACAAATATTTCAACAGCGCCTAAATTTCAAACTCGTCAGATTACAAAGGAGGAAACATTTGTAGTCACACCTATGCTAAAAATTCTCTCAATTAATTAATTAATGAACAATTATCTACATATTATTTTGAATTAATAATTGTAATCTATACATTTTTTGAATTGTTTTAAGTTAAATATTTTCTGATACTTGCTTAAATTCAAAGCATTAATATAGACAATATGTTCCATAAGTTATGTAAAAATTGTGGACAACCATGTCAATTTCATTCTTCAAAAATGGTGTGTATCCATTGTAATGACGTAGTCGACACTATTGTTAGGTAATTATTTTTATATATCTTTAATTTTAATTGCATTTTTTATTGTATATCACAATTTCTTCTTAACAAATACAATGTTAACATACAAGTTAGAGATTCCAGTGGTAACCTGTACCTTGCACTCCAAGACAGCTGTCGCGCCCCATTTTTTGAAAAATAAAATGAATAAATAGTGAATTTTTTATTTGAAAAAAAATGAATACAAAGTACGGGTCTAAATGGGACTTGAAAATGCGACGATTTGACCCAAAATATAGTTTAAAAAGGGTTTTTGAATAAAAATCGGAGTCGCCACTTGGTATAGAGTTAAGGTGTACCAAGTCACCTAAAATGAATTTTTAAAGAAAAATGAAGTAAGAAAAACCCCTTTTAAACGACTCCTAGTCTACGTAAACCAACGAAAAAGGTTCGGGAGTCACATTTGACGAAGGGGAAGGCAAGGATAAAAATCCAAAGCACCCCTTCGACCTAGCCAAGGCTAGTTGCGCGATTTAGTCAAAGATTTTCTTGTTTTTAACCAAAAAATTTATTACATTTGAATGTACTATATGAATGCAAATCCTAGACCTAGGGGGGCATCGGGGGTAAAATTTCTCTTCAAAGCTTGAGTGGTGCCAATCACATTAGTTGTGACGCCCAATAATGACTTTTTGGAGAGGTCACGAATGATGCACAAATATGAGACTCAAAGAAAAGGAAAAGAATAAAAATAATTATAGAAATATACATGTCTTAAAGGAATGCATCATATCGGGTACGGGGAAAACTAATACTCGTGACCCAATTTTCCCTTTGATAGAGGGAATACGAGCGTGCTAAGACTAGAAAAGCCAAACTCGTCCATATCCCATATTCAAGGGGTTATCCCTAGTCTAATCAGGCAAAATGCACTAATCTACCCCCTAATTTCCTAAATGAGATGCAAATCTAAATGTTATGTATACATAGGGGTAAGGGATATTTTATTAGAGGAAATATTATGTGAAAAAGATCCTAAAATTGAGAAAAATATGCATGAAGTGTAATCATACAAACATGATCTAACGAGAAAGGTCCCTAAGGGTCTAACATTGGACTAGCCCATGTCTATGAATCCTCACTAGCATTGGACTAGTGGGAAATCAGAACAAAGAGCCACAACTAGCGTTGAACTAGTGTGGTGACGGGAAAGGAATCACAGCTAGCATTGGACTAGTGTGATAACATGCATTTATTACGGTCTAAGAAAATCAGATAAAGCATAATAAAACAAATAAGCACATAAATCATATAACACATATAACACATAGGCATGATATCTAGATGCACGTCCTAAGAAAGCGGTAACACATAGCACATAGGCATGCAACACACATAAGACAAGCAAAACAAATAAAGCCCTAACTATTACATTCGGGGGGGAAGCCTACTACAATCTAAGAGGGAAGGAATTAAATGAAATGATATAATAGCCTAACTATTACAATTGTGGCATTCAAGTGCCTTTCAAATGATCAAAAATTGAACTAAAATAAAATAAAAATACTAAATTAAAACAAATAAAGCGAATAAATAAATTAAAATGAAAGCATTCAGATGGCATGCAATTGAGCACATAAAGTCACATAAGGCACATAAGGTCAAATAAAGTCAAAAATAAAGGATAGAGTGTACCTCCCTTGAGTTGGGGCTCTAATGAAGTAAAGTCACTTATTTACCCTCCAAAATACAAAGAAAAGGTCAAGACATCACTTTAATTAACCAAACAATCACAAAGATAAAAATGAATCATGAAATTGGGTCAATTAAATCATATAAACAACCTACATTCAAGAAGTCAAGAGAAGAAAGGACCTGATTGCAAAGATTGATAAAATTTTAGGGCCAAAATTAAAGAAAAATAAAGTTTAGGGGCCTATTTACAATTAAATTAGGGACCCAATTGGAAGAAGTTAAAAGTTTTTAAGGCCTTAGTGAAAATATCCGAAAGTCAGGGGACTGGAATGAAATTTCATCATCAGGCTTCTTGACTTAACAGGCCATTGGGCCCTTTCTTTTATTTGTTGGGCCATAAGTCATTTGGCCCAATCGAAACCCAAGCAAAATTGATGGGCTAGCCTAATTGTTTTTGCCAATTAAACTCAATTTTAAAACCCCAAATAAAACCCAAGCAAAAGTGTTGGGCTCTATCTTCCTAAGCCCAAGTCAGAAACCCAACAAAAATAAACTAAACCACTTTTACAAATCCAAGCAAAAGTTATTACCCATCCTAAACCAAAACTAAACCCAACAAGATTGGTAAATCAACTAAGATTATTAAGCCACAACTATGATCTAAATCCCAGAATTAAATTTTCAAAAAAATCACATAAAGTAGACAAACATAGGATTAAGCTCAAGAAAGGCAAAATGGATCTAATTTTTCCAAATTTTGAGGCCACGGTGAACAAGGGGAAGACTTGAGAGGTTAAAATGCAACGCAGGCAGGGGCCTAATTGAAGTACTTATGAAGGTGTTGGGGGCAAATTATGAAGCTCAGAAAAAATCCAAGACCAAATCACAAAACAAAAAGAAAATGGAGGGACTGAAATCACAATTTTGGTCAAGTGATCATCTTCTCCAACGAGCTAATATCGGGCCTGTTTGGCACCCTAGTCTTTTACCAAGTTTTTTAGCTACTAGTTTTTTAACAACTTTTGCTACAGGAACCCCAAAAAACTTTTCAAAGTTTTTTACCTACACATTTCAAAAATCTATACACAAAAAATTTCTTAAAAACTTTTCTTCCTCCCTCACCCAACCCACCACACCAGACACCGCCTCCACCACCTCTCCCGGTGCCGGTCACTTATTCCGGCGCCGCCGGTAACCTCAAAAAAAAATTTTGAATTTTTGAGTCCCTCACCCTCAAAAATTTATTATATATATTATATATTTATATATTTATTTAAACATATTATAAATATTTTATTTTATTTAAAATATATTTTTATATATTTATATAAATATTATATACCATATAAATTAATATTTTTCAGCTTTTTTTCGATTAGCAATACCAGAAATTTGGTTTCGATTTTGACCATTCCAACAAACAATGAAACTCACAACACTCCTCTCATAACATCAATTCGAATTCACTCGACCGAAAGCATAAGGAACAGACACATCAAAAATTCTCGAATGCGAGGAAGTGAACTGGCCGACTAGGCCAGTTTCTTCATGCGCAAATATGCAGACAAATCACCCCTTCAACTAAAGTTTTCAATCAGGCATTTTGCCAAACAGCAAATGGGCATAAAAATTTTACCAGATTCTTGCTCAAATTAAAGTAATAACCAGCCCCAAAAATGATCAGAAACCAAGACATTCAGCTCAATCAACATATACAGCATGCATATTCCAGAATTGAGGCCAATTAGCAGAAAGATTACACTAGAGGAAGCCATGGCAGTTCCATTTCAAAAGCTAGACAAGAACTGAAAAATTTTTGAGAGAAATGAAACTTACAGTGCTTTCGTTCGGTGAGCATCCGCAGGCGACGATGGTGAATTCCGGCGAGATGGCGGCGAGCAGCGGTGGTGGATGAAGACTGGTGGTGGCAATGGTCTGTTCAAGAGCTATTGGAAAGGGAGTGGCCGTCTGCCGCCCCTTTTCCTTTTCTTGTTGCTCGGTTTTCCCTTTTCCCCTGTTTTTGACTGCAGTTGCGGCCCTCTCTGTTTTCCTTGGCTTTTTCTCTCACCGAAGCTCCCTCTATTGCTCTCCTAAAAAAAATTAGATCCTTCCCTCCTCCTCTGTTTTCCGTTTGTTTCCTTCTCCCCGTCGTCTCCCTCAAATTCCCAGTCTTTCTTTGGTTTTATTTTTTGCTGAAACCTCTCTCGGCTTCCTCTGTTTCTTTTCTCTTTTTTTCAGTTTCTTTTCTTTTTCTGCTCTTCCCTCATCCGACCCCCTTTTTCTATCTTATGGCTGTTTTCATTTTAAAGGCACCCAAAGAGACTAAACCTAAGATGAAAGGCCAAGATTTTCTCCTCCTAATAGGCTTATGTGTCTTATTCTTGTCCCCTTGATTGACTTTTTCTTCTTTTCCCTTTTTCTTTTTCTTTTCCCTTTTCTTTTCCAAAAACCTAGAATCGAAACAAACAAAAATAAAAGTTAAATGATTAAATGATTAAAGTTTAATTAAATGATAAAAATGACTTAAAAATAAAAGACTAAAAGTAAATTAAATTAATCAAAAATAAAAATAATAGTAAGCAAAATACCTTAAAAAATTTGGTGTCTACAACAGGCATACACGATTCATATTTCATTATGATGCTTCTTATTGTAGAGATTTAAAAGGGAAAGTATAAATTATTTATACATATATATTTTTATAAAATATTATTTACAAACTTTGTAAAACAAATGATAATTCTAAATTCCGTATGCTCTTAATTGTTAGGAATATAGTGGTACATTGCTCGACCAACACATTAATTTATGTAAAAATCGTGCATTCTCACTTATAGTACAAACTCCACAAAATTCAACAAAATTAATTAAACCCCCAATACTAGTATTCGGACTTGGAGTTGATTGGTTTGAAGAATATTCTCACCTTCATAGAAGATTATCAAATCGAAGGCAAAATATTTGTAAGTATTTCATTTACTTATCAAGTTAAATATTCAGTTACATTTAATTGAACCCTTGTGTCGCTCAATTTATGATATAGATTTCTACTTTTTTTTTTAGGATTTAACTTCCATCAATGTGGTAGTTTATAAATAAAGAGGAAGTTTTTATCATATATTGAACTATTGCTACAAAATCTCATTTTTTTTAACTATACTTTCATGTGCCCTAAATTATACAAACAATTACGTACATTTCTTACTCTTTTTAAATTCCTCCTTCGATTATAATTTCTTCCAAAAATGTTATCCCTCCCTACCATGTTCTCATTTTTTTGTGCCACTTCTCATTAACTTTTCCCTACTTTTCATTACCCTCATCCTCACCTTTTTAACCCAAACTTTTCATATCCCTTCAACTCTTTTTTCTCCTACAAACTTTACATTTTTTTTCACTCTACCTTGCTTCTATCAAATTATGTAATCTCTTACCGAATTTTGCACCCTATTTACCTTATATCCTGTTACTCTCCATATATAGTTGTAAATATAACCAATTTTTCAACTTTCTCTTCAACAAATAAGTATGGGTATGCAATTTTATTAACTTTAAATGGGCAATCCAATTAAACTCATTAATTAGTAGCTATTAAATGGATAGATTGTGACTACCTATTTGGACCTAATTAAATTAGACTTAGATTCAAATTCATTAGTAACAAATTCAATAATTATATTCTACTTTTTGCAAAGGATACTTAATGTTCTTTTCCTATTCTTTAATTTTTGTTAAATTTTATCCTATTTCTTTCGCAACGGATCTTCTGTCCCATACCCTATGCCATTCTCTGTCCCATTTTTTATTATATTGCTATTTCTCCTACATAAACACCATGTTTTAGTTTTTTTTTTTGTTTTTTTAAGATCCAATAATTATTAACTGAATAAAGAATAAATACAACAATTTCAAAAAAAGTAATATATAATAGAAAATTAAAAAATACAACAGAAAATTCATAAAAAATCTAATTTTTTTATGCATTTTGATTTTTTGAGTTTGTTAAATTTTGTATATTATTCAGTTAATAGTTATTGGATCTTAAGGAAACAAAACAAAACAAAAACATGGTGTTTATGTAGGAGAAATGACAATATAATAAAAAATGGGACAGAGAATGGCACAGGGTGTGGGACAGAAGATCCGTTACGTATTTCCTCCCTCCCTTCTTTCAAAGTTTTAATTAACTGATTAAGTATAAATTGATTTTTTGCATTCACACTTAAATTATTTTGAGATTCTTATAGAGTGACAAAATTAAAACTCCTTATGATCACCACTATGGGTTTTTCTATGTAATTTTTTAGATAAAAATTTATTTATTAATGCAATGTGTTCTTATTTTTGTTGATTACAATGATGTATTATTTTGTTGCTCAAAGAATATGGGAGAAAAAATAAATAAAATTTTACAATGGATTGTAAATGGGTAAGATAACCAAAATCACGTAAAATTATATCCATTTAACCCATATAAATCATACATTTTGATAGTTTCATCCCAACCCACAACTGTAGCTTCTTACCCTCCCCAATCCTATACTCCTACCTTTATACTCCTTTTACTATTTAGGATTCATTACCTTATGTTTACCCTTTCCGGCCCTATACTTCAATCTTTCTATTCCTTTTACCATTTAGGATTCATTATCTCATTTTTCAATTTTTTTTTCAAACAAAGAGTTAGAATTATAGTCATGAAGGAAAATAATTGGGCATAACTTTGGTGAAATACTACTATTTTTTGTGATGATCACCCAAGATAATCGTTTAAACAAATATTTGTTTTAAAATTTTTGATAAACACTCCAAAAAACAACCATCTAAATGCCCCTTTTATTAATTTATAATTCATATCAAAATTTTGTTTTATGTGCACTTTCTGATGTACGCGTTATATGTGAAATTATCCAAATGAAAATTTGCGCATGTAAAAAATTATCTAGGTAACGTTGTATGTCAGAATGCTTATTTCATTGGTTGGAATCATTATCTAATAGGATAAGTTTAAAGCTAAAAAAAATTAATTTAGTTGCAGAAGGTAAAATGGTTAAAGAATGGCTATAATTGGGTATGTTATCTAAATGTTTGACAAATCTATATATATATCTGGAAGAACAGTGCTAAAAATATTATTATATAAATGATTAAAAAATGAAACTAATCACATTATTCCTTAGATTTGACAAATCAATCTTATTAATCATGGAATAAAATGGGCCAAAGTGATAAAGTTGCAAAGGGGTGAATGATTTTAACATGAAACTAATCAAATTATCCAAAATTATTTCCTTTACTTATGGAAGGAAAAAGGGGTTAAAGTTTGAAAACAAACTATAAATGATTTATTAAGCAATCATTTTAAGTAGGAAAGAAAGTTTTAAATTTTAAATTTGAATTGTCATCGGATCTATATGTATTGCAGGGGAGGTTTTAGTGGAGGCCTCATGGATGGCTTCCAAATCTCCCATACTTTTTTCTAGATTTTTCATTTATTTTAATACATAAATTCAATTAAAAAGTTTGAAATAGTGTTATTTACAACTACTCCTATGACAATTCAAATTTAAAATTTAAAACTTTCTTTCCCACTTCAAATGAGTGCTTAATAAATCATTTATAGTTTGTTTTTAGATTTTGACCACTTTTTCCTTTCATAAGTAAAGAAAATAAATTTGGATAATTTGACTAGTCCCATATTAATTCACCCCATTACAATTTTATCACTTTAGCCCATTTTATTCCTTGATTAATAAATATTGATTTGTCAAATCTAAGGAATAATCTGATTAGTCCCATTTTTTAATCATTTATATAGTAACATTTTTAGCACTTTCCTTCCAGGTATATAAATAGATTTGTCAAATATTTCAAATAACATATCCAATTATAACCATTCTTCAACCATTTTATCTATTGCAACTAAATTAAATTTTTTTAGCCTTAAACTTATCCTATTAGACTATTATTCCAACTAATGAAATAAACATTTTGACATACAATGTCATCTAAATAATTTTTGACATGCTCAGACTTTCATTTGGATACTTTGCATATAACGCGTACATCAGAAAGTGCACATAAAACAAAATTTTTATATGAATTTTAAATTAATAAAAGGGGCATTTAAATGGTTATTTTTTTGGAATGTTTATCAAAAATTTTAAAACAAATATTTGATAAAACAATTATCCTGGGTGATTATCACAAAAAATAGTAGTATTTCACCAAAGTTACACCCAATTACTTTTCCTTGATGACTATAATTCTAACTCTTTATTTGAAAAAAAAAAACACTTGAAAAGTGAGATAATGAATCCTAAATAATAAAAGGAACAAAAAGACTGGATTATAGGGTTGGAAAGGGTAAAAGAAGATATTAAATCCTAAATAGTAAAAGGAGCATAAAGATAGGAGTATAGGATTGGGGAGAGTAAAGTCAAGGAAGCTGTAGTTGTAAATTGATGAAATTATCAAAATGGGTTATTTATGTGGATCAAATAGATATTAGTTTTACATGATTTTGGTTATCTTATCCATTTACAATCCACTACAAAATTTTATTTTTTTTCGTCCGATATGCTTTGAATAACAAAATAAGATATCATTGTAATAAAAAAAAATAAGAACACATTGCATTAATGAATAATTTTTTACCTAAAACATAAAAAAAAAGTTACACAAAAGAACCAATAGTGGTGATCAAAAGGAGTTTCAATTTTGTCGCTATTTAAGAATCTCAAAATAATTTAGGTGTGAATGCAAGAAATTAATTAACACTTAATGAGTTAATTAAAACTTTAATGGAAGGGAGGGAGAAAATAGGATAAAATTTAACAAAAATTAAAAAAAATAAAGAATAAGAAAATAATGTTAAATATGCCTTTGCAAAAGGTAGAATATAATTATTGAATTTGTAGTTATTTAAATTTACTTACTAATGAATTTGAATCTACATCTAATTTAATTAAGTCTAAATAGGTAGTCTCAATCTATCTATTTAATAGCCACTTATTAATGAATTTTAATTGGATTACCCATTTGAAGTCAATAAAATTGTATACCCATACTCATTTGTTAAAGAACAAATTGAAAATTTGGTCATTATTTACAACTATATATGGAGAGTAACAGGACAGAAGGTAAATAAGTTGTAAAATTGGATAAGAGATCGCATAATTTGATAAAAGTAGGGTAGGGTGAAGAAAAGATAGAATTTGTGTGAGAGAGAAGAGTTGCAGCCTGGAGGGATGTGGGAAGTTTGGATTAG